TTTGCCTTGTGCTGCAGCTGTCTCTCTCTATCTCCCATTGTAGTGCTGGCTTAGTGCAAATTATATTGGCAGGTAGGAAACAATGCATTTGAAATGATATATCACATGTAGGCCAATATATATAGCATATATATGTATTGGTTCTATAAACATGGACTGCATTGTTTTCCCGTTTCTCTTTGCCCGCATAATTTGGTTCTATTAAATTAATTTTGGTCTGTTGCTCTTTTGTGCTACTTTCACCTGCTGATAGGCAGACTGCCTGACTGAATGAGTGACTGATTGATTGACTGATTGACAGACTGCCTGACTGTTTGGCCAACATTTGCGAGTAGGCCTGGGCCTAGGCCTAGGCATGCGATATTTGCACAACGCCCAAAGGCAAAATCAGTGCCAGGCCGTAAGCACACTACTGCCAGCCATGTACAGGTGTTTACAGGTGTGTGTGTGTGTATGTTTGCTTGTTTACTTGTGTGCGCCTTTAATAACTTACAAAATTGTTATGAACTTCAAATAAACGCAGCGGCTTAGCAAATATTGGCACTGCACAACAAATTATCTGATTACATTTGGGTCAAGACATTTTTTGGTTGTTGTTGCTCTGGGATATAAACAATGTGAGTGTGCGTGACACGCACACACACACATAGCTGTTAAGCAGACGCATTCGTGCACTTGCGGTTCATACAGACGAAAATTAATTAAAACTTTTGTATGTTGTCTAGCATAATGTGTGCCTCTCTCTCTCAAACACACACACTCTCTCTCTCACACTCTTTATCTAGGTTTTGTTGCTTGTTTTTTGAATGTTTTTTGTTTTTATACACATGTTTATGAGCGCGACCTTGTAGCCAAGTTAACAATTTGGGCCACTCGCTGTCGCAATGTTTACAAATAATAATGGCATTTATGACCCTGCTCTACACTCGCGCAGCTCTAACTGTACTGTTGTGTGTGTGTGTGTGAGGGTGTGCGTGTGTGCGTGCTGGTGTGTACTTCAGGGTCGCTAGCTGCTTTGGGGAATTTTGTTCATCATCATTTTGTTTGCGGCATTCACACACTTATAGCTACAGAAAGAGAAAGAGCGGTAGAGAGAGCGAGAGGAAGGGAGAGGTAGACAGAGCGGGAGAGAGAAAGCAGAGCAAAGCGCTCAACAACAGTAGCAGCTCACCAAAGTGCAGTTTGTATATTTATGCTTAATACACGTTCACGTGGCAACAAACGAGTATATTGGCGTTGCCATGTACCAATTGTAGATCTGATTGCATGTATATACCCCTCGCTTTGGAGAGTGTGAAAGACAAGACAAACATGGCTACCGCCCAGCATCCTGTAGAGTTCGATCTCTTTACATATATAGATCATATATTTATATCATACCTATATAGATCAATTCCACTGTCAATGCCCATTGAGCAGACCCTAAACGAGTATTACGCCGTCGGCTCTGCCCAATTGCAACGCTCGCACTTCTCTTTTTGCTCGCGCTTAGCAGAGAATAACAAAAAATGAAATACAAAAATTAATTTAATGCTTGGCTGCGAAATTATTCTAAGCATTTTATATTCCATTTACATATACTACCACATAAATGTAGTATTATGTAACATTTTACACACACACACTTACGTATACATATGCATGATAATCACGCTCATCATTTTGAACAATTTGCTGCTGCAGCAGCTGGGCTTTGTCCAAAAACTTCATGAATTTGCATATGACACGAAACTAAGCTTGACCTGAGCATAGAGCAGAATTCTGACTTAATTTTTTTTTAAATTAATTTGAAAATTGCATAAGGGCAGATTGACCTTTACTTAAAGCACTGGCTCAAGGGGCACAGAGTATTATAAATATTGTATAAGTTGCTTTTACAATGCACTAAAACAAATTAAAAGCAAAGCTTGACTTGAAAAACTTACCAAAAGCCATGAGAATCACATAGAGAGGCGATCAAAGAAAATCATTTTCCTTCTGCAAGGCATTCAATGCCTGAAATGAAGTAGAAAATACAGCTAAGATATGAATATATTCATAAGGAGTTAAGAGTTAAGTCTTAAGTTAAGTCTTATAGTCACCCATTCATTAAAGTTTACAGGGTATTTCAAAACAGCATGTAGCTGTAGCAGAGCTTCACACTTATGCATGCAAAAGCCGTTAGTTTCCCAGTTTGTGCACAAAATATGCACAGCTGATTAAAGTATTTAAGCTTTCGGTACACTTACAAAATTCATGTGTATATAATAAAGGGTTAAGATGGCTACAGTTGGGCAGAACTGACTGCATAATGCTCGTTCACTCAATTTGAGGTCTAAATGTGGAAAAGGTCAACAGTGCAAAGCATGCAGATCTAATTTCTAAGGCAAGAAAGTGTTGTCGGGAATGACCGACTAGCAGATACCCAGAAGCAATGACGTCTCTAGCTAATATAGATCATAAGATTCAGCTTTCATATATATGAACTGACAGATTAACAGACAAATAGATAGACAGACGAAGAGATATGCATATCAACAGATAGATCTACAGATGGAAACGATTGACTTGGTCTACTCGGCTGATTGCTTTATTTAAAGAGAGGTAATTCATAAGGTTCAAAATAATTCAGGCTTCTCAGTTGTTTCGCAATTTAAGCTTTTAGATACTTTCATCAGGCAGTGGCATACATGACTATACGTGATATAAATTCCGAGACTCTCGGCTCAATGGAACCTTAATTAAATTCATTTTATCTGAAGGATTTAATAATTACGCATTTACTACGCTTCCACAAGGAACATACAAAACTGTAAGAGCCTAGCTAATACATGGGCGTGCATAGCAAACCCATATACTCTCCCTTGACTCCATGAGCGGGCAACAATATGAACAGCTAAATTTAGGACAAAAAAGAAACGTGATTTGCTAATGATTAATAAATTGTGCAGTCACACGAATTAAACAAATATTACATCAAAATAAACATGTCAAACAAATAGATATATAAGTGTAGACATGTGTGTGTGTGTGTGTGAGTGTGAGAGCACAGGCAAGAGCTGGCAAACCGCCTCGTTGTTAACTCCATTAATTTGCAGCATATCAAAAACAGATTGACACTCTTAGCTGAGTGCCAGTGTGTATGTGTGTGTGTGTGTGTGTGTGTGAGTTGGTTGGGATCTCAACAAGATACATTGAGCGATACATGTGCTCGCCGTATATGTCTGCCTGGCATCCTTTTAGGTGGCAGTGTCCTGTGCGTTCATGTGTGCGCCTGTCGTCAGGTGTTTGCCAGCAGCATCTTGCTCTGTGCGTGTGGGGCATGCCTCCGAAATGTGTGTAAGCAACTGCAAACATGTTCGCACAGCTGCGCACTGTGGCATTAATTTCCGTTAATTAAAATAAATACGTCAAGCGATAATAAATGACTCGCTGATGTTATTAAATGCACATACAACACATCTACTCGCAGCCAGCCAGCGGGATGAAAGCCAAAAAAAAAAATAAAGAAAAAAAAAACAGACACGCGCCAATTGCAATTAGTTGAGCGAGTGAACGACGCACAGCTTTAAAGTGCCTACCCCCAACCCCAAAGCTGAATCTGGCTTAATTGATACGATTGAGCAGCGGCTGCAAAATGAAATTTTCTAGCCAGACACAGCTGACCAGCAGCTCCAATTCCCACTCTCTCTCTCTGGCTTTATTATGCTGCATAAATTGTGTTAGATGTCAGCACGTAAGCTACGCTGTCAGCCAGGCATATGAGCACACCTGGGCGTGGCAATGGGCAAATACACAGCTAAGGCAAAATACAAATATGTTGTGTGCCCAAAACAGCTTTCAGTATACGCAGCTGCTGCTGCTGCTACTGCTGCTTACCTTGCAGCTGAAAGTAACTGAAGTGTGAGTCGTACAATGGCAAACAAAAGATTATCCTTGCCCTTGCTTCACGCGCTGCCTTTGGACACACATACTACACACACTTGCGTTCATTTGTAGCCAGGCAGCTGGATGCTGCTGCTGCTGCTGTTGCTTCTATTGAAACGTTGAAGTAATGAAAAAAAATGTCAACTTGCGCAAAGGAGAGACACACGAACAGAAAAAGGAGCAGTAGCTCTGCCACACAACACAAAAGCGACAACGAGCGCACGACAACAAAACATGTGTCAAACGCCAGACATTCTGAGGAATATTAATAACACTCACCGAACATATTTTTCATTAAAGCTACACTGAAATGTCAAGCAGCAGCAGAGACACACACACACACACACCCACTCTCACACACACAACTTTAAAGCTGTTTATGCACAAGTTGCCTTTATTATCAGTTTAATAATTGCATTTGAACTTGAAAGCTCAACTACGCCTTGAACTTGCCCTGCGATTAGCGCATATTTTGTAAATGCGAACGATAAAGCAGCGGAGAGCTTGAAGGAGAGACACTCATGACTAGATGATACCCTATAGTGGGCTTAAATAGAGCTGAACGTAGACATGAATATATATTAACTGTATAAGGTGTGTTTACTTTAGAGCCTTACAGCTTTGAGCTGTCAACACTGCTTTATTTGACAACCAATTGAACGGCTCATAAATGTTATTTGTTGTGTTTGAATTGACATTTTTAATAAATAAACTTAAGGCAGAGCAATGCTTGTAGTAATTGTTCTGTTAGTCAAACTTATTGTGCGCTTTGTCCATGATGATTTCATCAATAATCAGAGCTGTCAGAATTGTTATGGCGCGAAACTACTCCATAAGCATTTATCTAAACCCCATTAGATTCAGAGAGAATTACTTTAGGGTGCGCTCTATGAGCTGTCAGAGTCTTTTGTTTACAGGCCTTTCGAGAATGGTTATGATTCTCATACTTTCTATGCCAGCTACGCCAGTTAAATACATAAATACTAAAGTCATAAAATATTCTAATCAGTAAACTACCTTTCATTCATATTAAAAATATTTTTCTATATATATATTATATTTATATGACTCAAAACTGTGTAACTCTAAGCAAAACTTTGCTTTTCGAGGCCCATCATTAATGCAGGCCGGAAAGTCAACATGTGGAAATATGCCAGACACACACACTCACACACACTGCCACATGTATATAGAAATTAGATGAACTTGCATTCAACGCTCGCTTTGTTAATTAAACATAACGACGCAGAGCGAGAAATTCTCAAGTGAATAATTAAAAACAACAAGCGAGCTGCTACAAAACTTTTTGGCTGCAAAACTTTTCCACTGAATTGAAAAAGAGCAAAAAAAAAAAAACAGGAAAAACTTATCCAAAATGTCAACGGGCCAGTTCAGTGCAGTCTGATGCTATATAAGCCGTGTGCCGCCATTGGGCTGATGCACAGACTGCCGCCAGGATGCTCTTCAGACTGATCAAACCCGCTCCGCTGACGGAGCAAATGAAATCGCGCGACGGCTGCATCTACTTGTATCGCGCCATGAAATTTATTGGCTGGCGACCGCCGAAGTCGGGAGTGCTGCGATATGTTTATCTCACGTGGACCATGCTCACGTTTGTGTGGTGCACCAGCTATTTGCCACTTGGCTTTCTGGGCAGCTACATAACGGAGATCAAGCATTTCTCACCTGGCGAATTTCTCACCTCGCTGCAGGTGTGCATCAATGCGTATGGCTCCTCGGTGAAGGTGGCCATCACCTATACGCAGCTGTGGCGCCTGATCAAGGCTAAGAATATCTTGGATAAGCTGGATCTGCGCTGCACCAGTGTCGAGGAGCGCGAGAAAATCCATTTGGTTGTGGCACGCGGCAATCATGCCTTTCTCATTTTCACCTTTGTCTACTGCGGCTATGCGGGCTCCACATACCTAAGCTCTGTTCTGAATGGCCATCCGCCTTGGCAGCTCTATAATCCTTTCATCGATTGGCACGATGGCGCACTCAGGCTATGGGTAGCCTCGACCCTAGAGTACATTGTTATGTCAGGTGCTGTGCTGCAGGATCAGCTGTCGGACACATATCCGTTGATCTACACACTTATTCTGCGCACACACCTGGATATACTGAGGGAACGCATACGCAACCTGCGCACGGATCCAGCCATTACCGATGACGAGAACTACGAGGCGCTGGTCAATTGTGTCATCGATCACAAGCTGATCATTGAGTAAGTGATCGTAGTCTGCCGTACTCCAATCTAATCTTTGCTTCTACTCGCTCCAGATACTGCGATCTCATTCGTCCCGTCATCTCGGGCACAATTTTCACTCAGTTTCTGCTGTGCGGCCTCGTCCTGGGCCTCACTCTGATCAATGTTTTCTTCTTCTCGGATCTGTGGACGGGCATCGCCTCGTTTCTGTTCGTCATCACCGCACTGCTGCAGACGTTCCCCTTCTGCTACACCTGCAATCTGATTATGGATGACTGCGAGGCTCTGTCGCACGCTCTCTTTCAGAGTAATTGGATTGATTCGGGCCCCCGCTACCAGTCGACTCTATTGTACTTTCTGCACAATGTGCAGCAGCCCATCGCTTTTATAGCCGGCGGCATCTTTCCGATATCAATGAGCAGCAACATCAGCGTAAGTTTTACGAAAATATAACAATGCCATTCACATTAAAGTAATTTTTGTTATTTTCATGATTTTTATAATTTTTACTTGATTTTATTTCGTTTCTTTAGGTCGCTAAGTTTGCTTTTTCGGTCATAACCATCGTGAAGCAAATGAATATTGCGGATAAATTTAAGAGCGAGTGAAAGTTGAGGACACACAGGAAATACCTATTAGTATAACAGTATTACGCGCACTTAAAAACTGTTATATGCAGGCAATGCTAGTGTATGTAATGCTTTTCTAAGTCACTTTAACAACTGTTATACATATTTGGCCAAGACAAGTAATTTATAAAGTGTTATACGTCAGATCTAGCAACGGTTATACATATAAACATATGTATTTTAAGCTGTAATATGTGAGATTTATACCGTGATTATTTGTATAACAGTTTCTTACAACTCTTAGATCTGATATGTACTAGGTTTATGAATGTGGCCAAACAAGTTAATTTTATACTCTTTTACGCAACTCTGTCAACTGTTATACATACGTAAAAATCCTATATTTTAGTTTCCTTTTGCAGATGAGAATTATAGTGTAGTGCAAATGCTTAGGCATTAGGTATGTCTCTTAGTGGTATACGTTAGTTTCGATACTGTTATACACAGCTTGAGTTACTGTTAAACATAATTTGTCACAGTGTAATGAGTAGTGTTGGTAAGTGTAGGTGTATAACAAGCAATTAAGTGTATTGAAAGCTGTTGTAAATAGTCAAAAACACTGTTATACTAACACTTGTTATACATACTACAAAGGCTTTTGTGTTGTCGCAAGCAGTGTTGGTAAGTAAAACTTACGAATAACTACAACTCTACTATACTATTCTAAATCTATATCTGTTATACGCAATTTAAATTGTTGCAAGCAGCTGTTATACAGTTATTTGTTAGCAAATATAGCGAGCATACCATTTTACCACTGTTATACTCTGCTTAAATGCGTATTACATAACATTAACAGCTACAGTTCTCTGTGCTATCTAGTGTAGTGTTGGTAAACGCATTTCATGACTTGAGGTTGTAAATAGCAAGTAGCTGCTAAATGATAAACAGTTATGTGTTGTTAAGCTGCCTAAGGCTTCTAAGCACTAAATTAAATTAGCACAGTTCTCATCAAATTCCATAAGCACTTAACTTTGTGATAAATTTTGATTTTTATGTTTCATAAAAATACCAAATAAAAATTGGCCTTTGTATTTCGAGTGCCTACTAATATTCAATGTTCGATCCTGACTTGGCTAGCTTCTCGGCTATATTCATTTGCTTAACCAGCGTAAAAACAGAGAATGAAAATTTGGTGGCCTATAAAAGAGATGAAAATTAGAAAAAAATATTCCAGCCAGCTGTAAAGTGTGGGCAAAGTGAAGATGCTTGGACTCACAGTCAGATTCGTAGCCACCGAAATGCTGAAAATATTCCCGGCCATAAAGACAATGGGCTTCTGCAGAGTTTGCAGGAATTGCAAAACGATTTTCTTATAGCGCTCATCCTGTTCGATCCAGTTGGACTCGAACAGGGCATCCGCCAGCCGGTAACAGTCGTCGGCCAGATAATTGCAGAGTGTGCAGAATGGCGTCGTCTCCAGCATGATGCAGCACACGAAGGACATAGCCGCAATGCGAGAGCCAAAGTTGGCAAACACCGCGATATTAATGATCGTAAAGCCCAGAACCAAGCCAACTACCAGAAACTGTACAAATATCGTGCCGCCCACCAGGGGACGCAAATTGTCGCAGTAGCTGGGAGGGTAAAAATGCAATCAAATGCGATTTCAATTGGGTATTCCAGACAAACCTTAGCAAGATTTTGTGATGCTTGATGCAATCGATAAGTTTTTCGTAACGTTGCTGCGGCTTTTCGTCGGGATCAGTGCCCAGCTGCAGCAGTCGCTCCCTGAAGATGGCCATGTGAGCGCGCAAGGGTAGAATATAGTTAACGGGATAACAATCGACGCAGACATCCTGAAAGCAAGCGCCCAGCATGGCAAAGTACTCGAGGCCCGATTGCAGCCAGAACTGAAAACGGCTGGCATGCCAATCGAGCACTGGATAATAGTTCTGAAAGGAGGGCACGCCCATTATGGCGGCGATCAGAGCCGTGCTCGATGCGTAGACCACATAGACGCCCATGTAGCAGAAGAAGATCCAATTGCTGTTGGCCGCAGTTCGATGGACTCTTTCACGTTCGCTTGGCAGCGTCACAACTTTGTCCAGCTCGTCGAGTATTTCGTTGGCCCGATCGAAACGCTTGACCAGTATCCAGACAATGATCACCTTAGTCGAGCAGGACCAAGCGTTGAAGGCCACCTGCAATGAGGTGAGGAATTGACTGGGCGTGAACTGGGACAGGTGCGAAACGTAGCCAGCCAGAAAGCCAATGGGCTGATAGAAAGTAGAGCTCAAATTTAGCGCGCACGACCACAGGACGTAGATGAAGAAGAATCTCTTAGGCGGGCTTCTGATGCCCATTAGGAAAACGCAGCGCAGCAAATACAGCGAAGCCTTGCGAGACTCGACGGGAGCAGAGTCTGGCACTTTGTACATATTCGGAAAGATGCGACGCAGCAACATGTTGGCAACTGCAACCGACTCTGGCTACTTCTGGAACTAATGCCACAACAGCTGCCAGCCTTATATAGGCGCATGCCACATAGCCTTGAGGTTCAGCACGTATCCTGTGATTATAAACCCATCAATGCAAATGTGAAAAATGCATGGCCAAAAACGGCGTCGAGCTGCAAGAACTATCCGACTACGCTACCCGACTACATCTATGGCCCATGTAGCGCATCGCTACCAGTCTCCATAGCCGACAACTGTTCGACGTTGCTCTTAGCAAAGTGTTAAAGCTCACAATACAGCGTCAATAATTGATGAATTCTGTTCGCTGTGCCCCGTGGGCGTACTCCGAGCCACTGCACACAATTTTCAATTAGTCTACGTATTTTATATACCTTTGCAATATTGTAATTAAATAACAGTTAAATACAACAGCAACAAAAGCAACAACGAAACTGTTTAAAGCCGCTTCAAATGGTGCATATAATGAAATAATAATAACAATTGCAATACAATTAAAATTTAAATAAAAATTGAAATATATAAAAATATATTTGCATTCGAGAGTGAGAAATTGATTGATTCGTATTGCCCTACAAAATATTTCACAAAAATATGCTGCGATAATTGTGAGTAAAACAAATTTAATTGCGGATCATAACGCGTAAGCTCAGTTAATAAGCATTGCAGGTGACACAGGTAAAAATACAATTATTAAAAATATACTTAATAATTAAGGAAAATTATAAAATTTAAGTAAGCTTCACTAGCTGATTATATACTGTAACAGAATTTAAATGTGTAAAATTCTTCTGATACAATAAAAAATTAAAGAAATATTCGAGTTGCTTTCAGTTAAGATACTACAACAAAGATTGAAATCTACAAATACTTTTTAAGTAAATGGGAATGGAGATTTCTAAAAGTAAATTGAAAAAAATATGTAAGTAATATTAAAAATTAATATTTATAAACAATATTAAAAGAAATAAATAATTTATGCACTAAATCAAACATATATTAAAATAAAATTTATTTATATAATTAAAAAATTTAAACATTAAAATATATAATTATAAGTAGAAATTATTTTTGTTAAGAAAAATATCGAAAACTATTTATTTAAATTTTTGTTAAATAAATAAAAAAATATAAGCATATAGTTATATATATTTCAATTCTTTTAAATAAAGTGTTAAATATTTCATTAAATTTTAAAGCTATTAGCAAAATAAGCTAAGTCACTCCACTGGCTTATTTGTAGACAGAGTATAAATAGCAAACATATTTATATAAATATGACATTGCGCAGCATTTAAGCGCAATTAAAGTATGTTATTTTATCATTTTATATATTTTTTTTTTTTGTATGTTTTCACAACGTATCTTTAGTTCAATTAACGCATGGCTTGAAGCCAGATATTTCAGTTTAAATTCAATTAATTAAAACTTTTGCCGTTACACTCTGCCAATAATAAGCATATAAAGCATATAGTGGATTGTTTTTATTTATAAAGACGTTAATAAGGCAAAAGCATATAATCTCATGGGAAATAAGTGACTGGCAAATACCGCGCCACTTTGAGATAAGCTGACCTGCAACTAAAGCATTTCCTTTAATTAAGTTTTAAATTCAATTTGCTGGCAGTTACATTGTTATGTACCCTTTATACTACTATTTAAACAGTTTTTTATTAATATTTTGAAAATACGCAACGGCTTTAAAGGCATCAAAGTAAAAATCACATCAAGCTGCTGTGAAATATATTTGGTGACAACAATTCCCTAAATGCAATCATGTCCGCTATAAGGCGGATATATCCGTTATGAATTCCCTGGACGCAATGAATTTTTGGGTTGCTTCCTCTGTTTCCGCCGCCACATTCATTGTTCTCTTGCCTGTTGGCCGTTGTCTCCTGTTGACATTTTTTCGGCAAAGCGGAAGTGCCGTTGCGGCCATTTTGTTGTGTTTTATATTTGAGGTTGAAATGTTTGTTTCTTTTTTTTTTTTTGTACTTTAAATTGCTTAACAACTCGCTTACAGATAGATAGTATTTGAAAGTCTTGTTGGCAAGTTAAATGGAAGGTTTTGAATTTAAAGTGGTTAATTATAAAGTTTTCAGTTACCAGTTCCCTGCTTTCAGGTCGGACACCTTTTTTGGTGGCTGGTCGAGAACATGTCACAGTTTCTTAATTAAATGAATACAATGCAGCTGCGCCCTTTGCCTGTTGAATGTGGACCCAATCAAGGGCGACACCTGTCACGGGCATGAATTGGGTTTTAATTTTATATTCTCTCGCGCTCTCACACTCTCTCCCTCGCTCTCTTCCTCTCATGACCTCTCTGTTCCAACACTTAAAGTGTCTAGGTGAATGACCTAATCCGTTAATAGTTTAAAGGTGTGTTAAAATATGCGTATTGATTGAGTGAAATTGGTACGAGGGTTGCTTAAAAAGTGGACGCACAGCCGATGTTAGTTTCTAATGCGAAGTTGCGCAAAGATTTGAGCGAATGAGAATTTATGCAAGCCTGAACTAGAGTTAATCAAATAGTTCCATAGCAACTGTTATAAGTATGCATGATTAGATGCGAGAGTCGTTCAAACAGTTGCTTGAATAAAATCTGTTGTAAGCCTAGACGAGAGCTGTTCAAAGCATTGTTAGATTAAGAGTTTAAGTAAGCCTTAGCGAGAGTGGTGCGTAGAATTGAGAGAAGTAGAACTGGTAAAGGAACATGAGAGAGTTGTTCAGACAGGAGTTGACTGATTAAAAAAAGCTCAAGCGAGAATTGCCTAATGAGCTGCTTAAATGAAAAACAAAATAAGCATTGGCGAGGGTTGCTCAAGAGGCAGCATAATAGACAGCAGGTCAGACAGAGTCTGAGTAATATATAAATATATATATGTGCGAGCCTTGCCAAAAGAGATGATAAAATGAAAGCTCTTTTAAGCCAATATAAAGAAAACCAAGAAATATTACCGCTCACATCAAAACTTTTCGCATAGCATGTATTTGAGCCACCGAATACAGGGTATCATGTTGACAAACAGCACGCAAATGCTTGACTTCTTTTTTTGGCTTTGAAGTGGGTGCGAGCTGTAGTAGCAGAGGGAGCTGTGGCTGTGGCTCATGAGCAATCAACATCAAGTTGGCTCACGCGCAAATATTTAATTTCAGTTGGCTGTTATTCTAGCTGTGGCTGTTTTTTTTTTTCATTTTTGGCCTTGGCAATGAGGAGCAGTCTGGCAACAGGTGGCGCTTTTTATTGCCGAAAAGCAAACTCATTTGCACTTGAAACCTCAGCAACAAGTCTGAAGGACAGAGCGAAATGTTGATATTAGCCAAACGAGGGAGAGCGGAAGGCAACGAGAGGGGAAATCAACAGTTGGCTTTGAGGTCAACTTCAAATAAAAAGTGAAAAGGAAACGACAGCTGGTCTCAAACGTTTTTCCAACTTCAAAGTAAATAAACATTGCATCGCATTTCACAGCAACAGCAGCAGCAGCAGCAGCAGCAGCAGTTGCTACCAGCAGCTGACATGGGCAAGATTTCTGGCTATATAAAAGTATCGCCGGGCCTCGTCATTGAGATACACATTTTGCTACTGGGCGTGGCAATATTCTTTCTAATCGATCTCTGCAATCATGCCTATCGCCGCAAAATCGGATACCTCAACACAACCATTACGATGGTGGGCCTGGCTCCCCGTGTGACTTTTGTACGCGGCATGGCTTTGGTTGCCTTCATACTGAGCTGTATACTGGGCACGCGTCTATCGAGATCATTTAATCTCTACAAATTCACCGCCTACATGCTGATGAGTTCCTACGCGATGTATACGACATTTTGCATTGCACTGTCGCGTTTTCTCTTCCGCAGCAGCTACCTATTCTTCTCGAACATGATGCTGCTCTATATGTGGAACATTTCGAAGATTACCCAGGTCGAGGAGCTATTCGATTGCTGTGGCCTGCATGGCGCCATCGACTATATCATTACCAATCGCACTTGGTCGCAGGCCGCCTGCTGCGAACTGCCCGGCTGTGATGGCTGCGAACAGCCCTTTTATGAATATCTAACCACGATCGAATCGGAAATTGCCCGCGACAACATCGCCATCTGCATAGCAACATTAATTGGCATGATCTTTGTGATAATACGTAGGATGAATGTTTCCCTGCTCGACGATCCATATGAATCCGAGTCGTCCAACTATTCCGAAGACGATGATGAGATACTGCCGCCGAAAACTAGACGAAAATTAAAAAAATCGAGAATTTCAACAACATCGAGAAATGTGCGAATTCCTTTCGCCAAGTGAAACTCTTAGGTTGCTGTTTGTATGGCTTAACTTGCTTATTGCCTGGCTCCACAGGCTATTAGTAGCTTTATTAACGACCCTTGCCATGATTTGCCCAATTGAACTTTAATTCAATGTGCCTTACGAACTGGCAGCCTCTCCCCATCTCTCTATCGTGCTGTCTCTCTCTGTGTTTGCTTGTTGCGCCTCATTAATCGAACTGGGCTTCAAAATCATAGCCAACCTGCTGTTGTTAGGGCAACGTTGCTCGCATCTAATGGCCGCACTTAATTAGCTTTCAAAATAAAATGCTCTCAATATATATATATATATATAGCTACATATATATGTATGTATAGGTTTATAATGGCTTCGATTTCAGTTGCTGCGAGTTGAACAAACGATTATGGTTTTATTTTGGGACGATTTATATATATTTATATTTATGTGTGGCGCACGGTGCGTATGATTAATGCGCCAGCCTTAGTTCGCTAAACGCTTCATTTGCCACGCCCATCTTTGAGCAGTTTAATAGACTTGTTATGGCACATAAACACAGTGAAACTTTTTAAACGCCATCACATTGGAATGGAGTGTGCACTGGCAGTAAGTGCTATCAAAAAATAATACAACTACGAGTATTTTCATAAAATGAAATTTTCATGAACTCGTTCTCTCCCTCTCTATGCCACCTTCTGCCTCTCTCTCTCTCTCTGTCTTTACAGGAAATAGTTTTTGCAACTTGCTTTGTCATTTAACAGCAAGTGCAGCCTCAGTTTCTGGCGAATGGTTGCATGGGTTGGGTCGGTTCATTCGGTTGCATCCGCAGCGGTTTGTCTAAAGGAAGCGCCCGCCAAAAAATAAACAGCCAGAAAGTAGGATGCGCAATGTTAAAAGGAAGTGCGCGAAATTTTTGCACATTTTTGGGGCCAACTACTTACTGCCATCGTGACTGTTGTTGTTGTTGTCGTCCATGTCTGTGCCTTCGCCCAAACTTTATGACATTTTAATGATGTCGACATTTATGACAGTTGGCTTGAAGATCTCGCAATGCTTTGACAGTTTGGCCTCCTCCAACACCAAAGAAGAAGAAGAAAACTCGCTCGTTTAACGCTGGCGACAGCAACCGCAAAATTGAAAGCCAAAAATATAAATCGAATTCAAGTTTTTGCGCTCTTTGAGCCTGACAACTGCAGCAGCTCAGCAAAAAAACAAAGCTTCTTGGAACTAATTTTCATGAAATCAAATTCTGAAATGAGGAAATGTAAAAGGGAAAACAGTTCCAAGAACAGTTGTTCCTTTGCATGTGATTAAAAGGAAATTATATTCAATGCATATATATATATGGATTATAGTTGATTAAACTCTAGTTCTGATTGTATATGAAATGATATCTTGTCAAGTATAAAGATTTACGGCTTGAAGAAGTTTAATGAAACTATGTCTCGACAGAGAAGAGTAAGAGTTGAGAGCTCTGCGAAACTTACTTTATGCTAGAGTAGTCCAATTTGGTATGAGTTTAATGATATGTTGGGCATAAAATGAAGCTTTCACCAGTAGATTTTGATGAAACTGAGATTAAATTGACAAGCCAAACAAGAGAAAGAGTTTCAAGTTAAGATAATAGCAGCTATGTATGATATTAATTTCAGAATCCCTATAAATTAAACAAAGTCAACTTCAAATTTAAATTATATATTAGGGAAACACACTTAGTAAGATAACTTATCGAGAGCCTATATGCTCCATTGAGCACTAATATATTCTATCAATAACTTATATACCCTGTTGAGAGCGTGTATACTTAATCGATAACTTATATTTTAAATCGATAACTTATATCAAAAATGATATACTCTATCGATATTTTATATCGATAACTAATATACTCTATAGATAACTTATATACTCTGTTGAGAACTTATATACTTAATCGATTACTTATATTGAAAATTATATACTCCATCGATAACCTGTATATGCTATCGATTAGTTAGTCTACTGAAAATTTATATACCCCATCGATAACTTTTGTACTATCAGTAACATGAGTACATTGTGGGCTAGTTGACGTTCCCTTCTCTATGCTGTGCGCAAGCCAACAGCGTAAATGGCTTAAGAATATAATTATAATAAGCCCTAATATGATTTTAGGCTTATACATTTGCGATCTAAGTAATTTTGATATAGGCACTCAACACTTCAACGGCTAACCAACCAACCAAACTTTATCATAGTATTAAAATTAAGCAGTTGGTTAAACATAAGCTTAGCCTATGACTGAAATGCTTCTCTGAAAGCTAAACAATATATCAATTCGATTCAGCCAACTCTAACGAATTTGTATCTAAACTGTATATATATATGGAAGCGTTTAAGCCAGCTATAATCCTGCCAGAGTAAACAGAAGTTAATTATTGGACTCGGGTAAAACCAGTTTCATGAGAATATTTAAGCAAACTCTGCTTGCTATATACAAATAGGTTTTAATACATTCACAGAGTCTGATATGTGGCGTTGGGCGAGCTGTTGAAATTAATTTTGCACAGTTTGTAAATCACACACTCACACAGACACACACACACACACACACAGGTAGCTAGGTTGATTTGTTGCCCATCGCTGTGGCTGCTTACCTGTTTGCTCACCTGGCACAAAGGTAACTCCGGTCTCTGGACTCTGCCAACGAAACAGATTGCAATGGATTTTGTTCGGGCAAATATTGTGACATAAATCAATCACTTCAGCCAACACAAGCACACGTACACACAACATGCAACATACAACATACAACATACATGACATTTATTAAAATTTTATATAAATTGTGTTTGTACAAAATGTTATGAGCAAAGCACAGCTACACTGTTTCCCCCTGACAGTTCTATGAAATTTCGAATGCCCGAAAAACCAAAAATGACATTCGACTTAATGCGCCAAAAGCTCAGTTTTTAATTAAATATTATAAATGTATAAATATATAAATATATATATATATAAGTTAACTTATAACACTTAGTTAGCTTATAACACTTAATGTAAGGTATTATTCAACACTTATTATCGGGTGCTAGACAAGTTAAGGAACAGCCCTGGCAAGGGCAACTCTACTTACGCCGGTGAGGCTATGATTTGTAAAAATATAGATCAGTCTCGTGTTTTAACTCGTACTGATAGGACATGCTAAAAATTGGTGTCATATAAGTAAAACTAAAAATAGTGAATATAATAAGAAAAACCAATAAAATTAACTGTTTCGATTATTCAAAAAAGAACAATTAAAAGCAGGGTTAAAAAGCGTTCTTCCAGTAAACCGCTTAAATAAATATTCACTCCGTCATTTGCTCGTTAAATGGCTTATTTCATTGTCTGAGCCCGAGGCCAGCAATAAGAGGCACAGTCGCCTCTCAACCTAACTTTCAGTCACCACAGGACTGGAAAACATATAATTGGCGCCCAACTAGTGGTCGGACTCCACAACCAACAACAATTAAGACAGCAGCGCGGGAGCTGCAATTGACAGATCTTATAAAGGGATTTTTTTTTTTTGTTTTGTGTTAGTTGAATCTTGTAAGTGGATACTCTAGCCAAAATTTTTCTTCAAACACAAAAAGTGTTAAAATTTATTTTATAAAAAAATACCTAGGACTAGCGAGTATTTTATATTGCAATTGCATGTAAAAAAAAAAAAAAATTAATGATCAGAACCAAGTGAGAGTGACTACTTTGGGAATTTTAGTGGCAGCAATTGATCATTCAGATCGTCAATAAAATTACATTGTGTTACTTTCTGTGTGTCTGAAGTTGTGCATGCAGTTCTCGTAGTTCAGAGCTGTGACGTAATTCGACCCATCTTCTGACGGCCCGTTTTATTTTTCGCGACCACTGACCTGCGCATGTCTCGGTTCAACCAATATAGAAACCCTCGCAGGCAGTCTAGCGACTCAGATTCCGACTGTGTAGTTCCCCCACCATCAGGTAGAATGGATGCAGATCAGCTTACGGAAATAATAAGGACGGCTACTAGCAAAGCTTTAGCCGAACAGGCCGCTGTAAACCAGCAGAGGGAACATGTATTAACTCAACGAATTAATGAGTTAGCTGAACAAATAGCGGTAGCAAACGTTGCCGCCCCACAAGTAGTAGCGTATGCTGCTATAGGAATTAGGAACGATATTCACTGTGACGAGCCACTAGATGCCGTCAAATGCTTACCTGAGTTTGCAGGGGTACAGGAATCGTATGTATCTTGGAGGCAGGCAGCATTAGCCACTTACGAGATCTTCAGACCGTATAATGGCAGTTCTCGTCATTATCAGGCCGTCATCATCATAAGAAGCAAGATTAGGGGCCCCGCAGACGCGGTGCTAGCCTCATTTGGTACTGTGCTGAATTTTGATGCGATAATAAATCGCCTAGATTTCACATACAGTGATAAGAGACCAATTCATGTCATTGAACAAGAATTAAGTACCTTGAGGCAAGGTGGCCTGTCCCTGCTTCAATATTATGATGAAGTAGAGAAGAAACTCGCTCTTCTCACAAACAAAGTTAATATGTCATATGAGCCGGCTTTAGCAAAGGGCCTATGTGAAAAATTCCGCGACGATGCGTTGCGTGTGTTCATATCGGGTCTCAAGCGCAGTCTAACAGATGTGCTCTTTGCAGCAAAGCCCAGAGATCTGCCTTCAGCGCTAGCTCTCGCGCAAGAGGTCGAGTCGAATCACGAAAGGTACTCATTCGCGGCTAATTTTGCAAAAAGTCTTGAAGACAAAGAGCGCAAGCCGCATGCAAAAGCGCAGGGTCACCAATATGAGAGGTATTCGCATCAAGCCGAAAGACAAGCTAGCGGTACAAAGAATCCGCACTTTAGCAAGCAAAACAGGGCCCCATTTCGGACTGACCCACGAAGCACCAGGCAGCACAACAATAATGGCGCACCAGTGCCCATGGAGGTCGATCCTTCCTTTTCAAGGGTAATGCAGCCCACTCAGGCCCTTGCTTACGCGAACAAGAAGCACCCCGCATCTGACCGCACAGGCGGTCTGAGAAAGCAGCAAAGGTTGAATCACGTCACGCAAGGCGCGGGACAGGGGGCAGAGGTGTGTGCTGATGCTGCCTCCAGCGCAGCGGCACAAATCAATAACGTTACTAGTTATAACTCTGATGCCCTTAATTTTTTAGGAGTAAATCCCTTCTACCCGTCATCAGACGAAGAGTAGGAGGGACTCACATGCAATTCCTCATAGACACGGGCGCGGCCAAGAATTTCATTCGGCCACATAAAGGGTTGAAAGGCGTCC